CAATGGGCATTCCTCAATAATTAACATTTTCGTAAATATAAGCCCATTCTGACTTTATACTCATCGAGACTTTCCATTTAAGTACCCACATGAATTTTTTCATATATCTTATATATATGATATTTATAAAATATATGAAAAGTGCATGTGGGTAGTCAAGACCAACAACAATTTATAAAAAAAGAATCTGTTAAATAAACATTTTCTCGTGGACTGAATTGTGAATCTAAACCATTCTGGAATCCACCGGAAGACATACAAAAAATTTAATTAAAATCGGTCCAGTCGTTTAGAAGGAGTTCAGTGACAAACACATGCACAGAAGAAATAAATATATAAAGATTAATTTTGAAATTTTTTTTGTAGAACGAAAATTCATCCTTATTTTATTTATTGTAAAAACTCCGATGTTTTTCGGAGTGAAATTCGAAAGCACTCCGAAATCACTTTGAAATCACTCCGCAAATAAAAACTCTGGATTCACTCCCTACGCGGAGTGATTAAATACTTCACTCCGGAACTCCGAGTGATGGGAGTGAAATGGGAGTGAAATTCACTCCGGATTTTTTACAGTGTATATTGTCCTCCAAATTGGATTATTAAAACTTTTAATTCAATTAAATGCTATAATTATAATTATAATTATAATTACACTTCTAATTAAGTACCTCAAAGCAAAAGATTCCCCAATAAAATTAAAATACACTTAAATAAATACAAAGAATAAGAGAGAGAATGAAAAAAGACGACAGCCTTCCGGCTTAGCATTACGCATAATATAGCGTACATCTAATAAACGTCCAGCTGTGTGTTCTTTACAACTATTACTGGACGTTATCATCGATGTACAAGTTAACTTGTTAAACAACGTACAACATCTATATCCATATAATATCCTCAATCCTCGACTGTAAACTGCAAACTGTAAAGTACACTGGTTTACTATTAAGTACCTTACCGTGGTGCACATAACAGAGCTCGCGCTAATGTAATGTAACGTACAAGCCAATCAATACGGTCCATGTGTGTACGCGATTAAATTGACGATGTACGTAATAATCTCGTGCACGTGGGCATCTAAATTCGTAAATGCTTCATATACCGTCTTGGAGTCGTATATACCCTCGGACTAAAACTCTGAATAATCCGATGTATAAATTAATGGTACAAGTTGGTTACTAGTAATAGTAACTGAGTAAAGGTAAATACCTATACTACTAAATTCTATACATATAATCCATAGAATGATGGTCGTTGCTCTGGTGAATTTATAACCCGATATTTATCAGCTTTCGAAATAGACGCCTCAAGGATCCCGAGACCCGATAACGCTCGCTGAAGGGTTGCAAACTCAGCTAGTATCGTCGCACGCCTATTTCACTCGCGGAAGTAATAATTATAATTATAATTAATGTACGCGAATTTTATCCAACTGCCCTGAGGCGAAATATTGATTTCTAATTTTTTGAGGATTTTTAGAATCTTTAATTAATAATTTCTATCGCGAATAAATTTTTTGTAGGTGCGAGTTTGTGCTTGAATAAATATAAAATATTGAAAAATTCAAGCACGGATTTTTTTTCAATTAAAAACATTAATTTAATTAAAAGAAAACTATTTTTTTGGCAATTTTTATTTAAAACAATAATTTTATTTCGCAGAGAATTTAATTGGAAAGAATTTTAATTAAAAGATACAAATTGTTTGTGGGTTAAGATAATAAAAATAATTTCTTTATTGAAATGGCAATTGGTTTGTTTAATTGAAATATTTACGGAAAATATTATTTATTATTTTAATAAAAATTGGATGATAGAAAAATGATGAAACTGTAAGTTTCTATACAAAATTATTTACTCACTCCCACGAAAAAAATATACGAGCTTTACATAGATGAAAACTTATAGACAAACATAAAAAATTTATATCCCTACATATTTCTATTTTGAATTTATTTGCGTGAAAATATGTAAGAAAAATTTTTATGTTTGATGTTTTCAAAATATATGAAAATAAATATGATGCATAGAAAAAATTGTTTGGATACGTTTACAGTAAAAAAATATATAAAATAGATTTATGTGCGTGAATACAAGATCTATTTTATATATTTTAGACGTTTAATATATATGTATCTTTCCGAGGGGATAAGTATCTCTTAAAAATATTTTTTATTGAAATCCAAGCCAACTATTTCAGTGAAAAAAATTTCATAAATCTTGGTCAGATAGACACATTATTAAAAAATTAAAAATCAATTAGAGTTAAACAATTATCTATTAGTGTATACTTATAAAATAAACTCTTTAAAAATAACTTGTTGAGAAGGTAAATATATCATTAAAACGCCGGAAATGTCGCGTAAAATTTTACGAAGTACCATCAAGAATTAAGCTGTGAATTATGTTTAAAAGATCGTATATTAAAGTTTCCAAATTCCCATTCCATTATTTTTTATTTAAAACATTTAACATTCGAAAAATAATTCTTTATTTATTTTCTTAGAGTAGAAGTTTTTTAGGACGACCTACAACTAAACGGACGGTACAAAATATTACACTGTAAAAACCTATTTATAGATAAACGGTATTTAATACATACCTACACATTTTCTTTTATTTTTATTTCCGTATTTATTTTTTATTACACTCTACTCTTGTTTATGTAAGTTGAATTGACACGCGGATTTTTTCCGTAATCTTTCGTACATATTATAACACCGATTCTTGTTTAAACATTTTGGTTAATAGTTATTTGTAAATCGAACTCGAACCCGATATGATACGATACGAGACCATCACACTAACTGTTAAATGTTTATCCAGCTTTTGCGTTATTACGAATCCGACGATCCCTTTATACTCTTTTCTTACTTTCTTTAGAATATAAATATAAATATGTACATAATGTTTGTGTGCTTTACAACTCACAGGATAAATATTTAATATTACGTTATGAAAATAATTTTTTTTTGCTGATATTTTTTTATCAAACAAAAATATTTAAAGTATTTTTAAATAAAGAACTATTAAAAAACAATTTTATTAGAAAATTTTGCTATTTTTTAATTAATAAAAAAATTTTTTCATTAATGTAAAAAATGTCCTTTAATATTTTCCATAAAAAATTTAAAAAAAAAACAAAAACAATTTGTTGATATTTTCTCGTTTGAAAATTCCGTGGATGATGGATGGATCCCTAGGTATTCAATTTCCGGGTGCTCAACATATGAATATATTATAAAATAAACACGTAATGAGGCTGATAAATTCAAACTTGACATTTAAATCCATTTTTCATTGTATAAAATAATGCATCCAAATAAACTATATAAATGTCTATTTTATCATCGCAGCAAGTATAAGTTTAACGTCACGACAGAACTTTATTCTAGACGACAAATAGTTGAATTTAGTATTGGTAAATCATCAAGTGTGGGCTCAAATCGTTGGTCGTGCGGGGTTTAGTTGTTATATTAAGAATATTATAAGCAAAATAAAAGTGAGCGGAGGACATATTGCAAAAATGAATAAAATAATGTACTTGAAATACGTCGAGGAAAAACAGAAAATTCAATTGGTCCTCGCATCTGATATTGCTTACGGTAAATTTATGTCGACAGTATATTTATATAAAATAGTTATATTTGTTTATATGCATTAACATTTATAATAACAAAAACGTAACAACAGACGTAAATTCGTTCCGTTGCGCTGCTTGGTTACGGCACGAATTTGCTGAGATTTATCTTAAAACTGGCCCTGGCGGACGTGTGAGTGGTACTATTGTTTTTAATTTGTTTTGTTTCATTTTGAATTGAATTAGCGCCAGAGCTTTTTATTGTTTTCTATTTTTTCCGTGATTGAATTTGTAAGATTTCTTTAACAAAAAATAATTATTTACTAGCCAACAACACGTGCGAATATTTTGTACAGTATTGTGATCAGATAACGATTATGATGTTTAAAAAAAATATTTATAATTGATAAATATTTGCATTCACTCAATTCATCACAATATTCATTTTATATAGTTAAACGTGTTGTTGATAAGTGGCTTTGCACTTTTTTCCTATTTGTTTTATTTTAATTTTATCAAAAAAAAAAAAAAAAAAAAATTGTTGCAATTTTTGCATTTTTTGTCACTAGCCAGAAACATAAACACTAACATGATATTTAAATTTTCAAGTTTGGTTAAGAACTAAAAGAAATATATGATACAATGCTAGAAAATTTATATCGCAAAGTACGAGATCAATTGCAGTAGAAAAAAAATAAATGTTGGTGGAACGTACTCGGGCAGAGAAGTGACATTTTCAGAGCGAACAATTTGGATTAACAAATGCGCTGTCAAAATTAGATATGGAAATACTTGTAGACACGCTGAGTATGATAAGTGACAGTAGTGGGTCGCGGGCAATAATTATTGTTGATGATACCGGGCTCGACACTTGTAAATTGTAAGTGATATAGTGTTATAGTGTTACGAAAACTTCCATACAGATTTATATTATATTAAGCCGAGAAATAATAGACTGGATATTTACTATTTTTCATTCAAATCCCATTCCCCCGTCTTCATTATTTCCGGATGATAAATCGAGATTTCTCAGAACTGATTGACGCTAGAATTTTAATATTCAAGAGTAGGAAATTGGAAATTACTTAATCTGTCAGTGTTTTCATTTATTTAATATTCAATATTTTGAATAATTCTGTCAGTCACTCAATTTTTAATTACATTATTAATTGAAAAACGTAGGGAGTTATTAAAAAAATAGAATTTAACAAATTTTAAACTACTCACTGATTATTATGAAAAAAAAAATTCAGACTCGATTTTTAAAGAAATGTACGATGTTATAAATATGCTTGCTTGTAAAAAACTGAAATTGAAAAAGAAAATCTTCCCTATTTGTACCTGAATTTTTTTTTGTGATTGGTCGACTCCCTTCTCCAAGAGTTTTTGAGTGAAAAGTAAACTATTTATCATAAATTTGAAAAATAGAGTTAGAGAAAAAATATTAACCAATAAAATTGTACTTTGTATTAATAATGATATTAAAAAATACAAGTATAAAAATTGCCAGAAGATAGTTAATTTCATTTTAATAAAAATTATTATTTGATTTGTTAAAAATTCTAGGAATAAGAACAAAAATAACTTGAATGAAAATTATAATAAAATGCATTTATAATTTAAAAAAATCAAAGACCAAAATATTCTCAAATCAACCATAAATCATAAAATGAAAATAATTAATAATTAATAGCGTGTATTACAAATTGATAAAATAATATATTTAACAAGATAAAAAGGCCTCTTTGGCAGTAATTAATAAGATATTACTCTGTCAAGTGTAGAACACTCGGTGGTTGCCTTCAAGTGATAATAAATCACATTATTCAAAGATAAATATATATGTATAGTACACACTCAAATGGTTTTGCTCCGTAGAGTAGATCATTTAATTTTCTATCTCCATTCTCTCGAAACCAAACACCGCAAGCTTTGCGCTCAGATAATTCGATGCTAAATATTGTTATTTATTATTACATTAATAATTATAGCAACAATAATAACCGCTATCAAAGGAATCGAAACAAAATGAAATTTTTAAACCGATCGCAGATGCCGGTATTGCCGGTCACTGATCTGTAGGTTCCCAAACTCAGCGATAGATCGCGCCTTCGATCAAGCAATCGTTCTCCAAAATAACAATAATAGTAATTAGTAATAAAATTTGAATTTAATACCTGCAAAAGCAGTAAAAATGCCACCCACTGGTAATATCTGATCACTTTTATTTCTTCTTCTCTTCGATTGTGATTCTCTGGAAATGAAAGATGACCTACTCGGTTGTAAGGCCAAAGAAATGATGAGGACGAGGCTACGCCGGGAAAGGCTACATTTACTCCAGCCACTCCGAGCATTGCTCCAGTTACGAAGTAAGTGCTGTGTATCCAACAATAAGCATTGAATGCGTCCACAGGTATTTCTCTGGAAGAAACAAGAAAATTCAAGTTGTTTTATCGATATTGTTATTGTTCTTGCATGCCAAAATTGTAAAATAAATAATGTTACATGACTGGATATTTTAGACAAAATATGTTTTTGTAAACTAAAAGTCTCTTTGATCCTTCTTTTACAAGAAAATTATTTCTGTAATAATTTTGACTTGAAAAATTATTACTTTTTTTAAGTTAATATAGTTTTAAAATTAACTTGAATGTAAAAATGTAAATAAATAATGTTAAACCAAAATCAATATTTAAAAATTACAAGTTCAAATTTTTTAAATTTCCATTTTTTAAAAAAATTATTTGAAAACATTTTCTTTTTCCATATTATATAATTTTTTTATTATAAAAGAAACGATTTATTTTTTATTTCATAAACAATTCATGATTTATTCAAAAATTAATTTTTGCCGGCGAATATTTTCAAATTCTCAACAATATTTTAAAAAAATCCAAATATTTTCCAAAATAAAAAAACTAAAAATTCACCTTGTATGCATACAATCAATAGGATTCCCAACAGATTGCTTAGCAGACACAATAATCGAAAATATTAACATGACAGCAGCCGTGAACACGTGTGCTCTCATAATAAACCCATCGCTCGTAACTCTTCTAACCTAAAAACAAAAAAAAACCAAATTACTCTTCAAATTCACTAAAAAAAAAAAAATAAAATACAATTTAAAAAATAATCTCACCCGAAACAAAAAACAGAGCGCGCTAAACGCGTCCATAATTCTATCGTCGTGGAGCCCCTTGTATTTAGACACATCAAAAAGCTTACGTTTGAGATTTTTCTTCCTTTTGGCCCTCGAGCCCTTGTATCCACCCTCACAATGACCGTACTTATTATTTTCAATGTAAACCACTGTACTGGTGCTCTCAGTCGTGCTGCTCGAATCGCTACTGCTACTGCTAATGCTGATACTACTATTTATTCTATCATGTGGGTTTCGCATAGCGCAAAGGTTTTCAAACTAATGAAAAATCACCCACGGTCTCGAACCGAAACCAAAACTAAGCCCAAGGGCTTCCATGTTTTGACCGTGAATTGTCATTTTTACTTTCATTTTGTTTTTTACATGATTTATTGAATCACGATTGTTGCTCACGATTAAATCCTCAACTTACGATACACGACCAGTCCTTTCATTTTTACGTGAAGCAAATACTTGACAACAAAGCACATTTTTAGAGAATAAAAACAGGAAGCTTTTTTTATAAATAAATTTTTATACTATTGATGTATGCTCAATCTCAATTAAAATGAGAGAAAATTTATACTTTAATAAAAATAAAAAAAGTTATCTGACGTACGCGTGTGTCCCGATGCGCGGGATAGCTCCCAAGAAACTGATTCGAACACATAGTGCCTGACCTACTGTGCTTAGCTCCTGTGCTTTTAGTTGCCAAGAAGAAGTATATGTAAGCATTTTAAACCACGATTATCATCGTCAACATCATAATCATCTCCATAATTAATAGTAATATTTGCTTATAATTATTTTTGACTTAGAATAAATGATTATCATTATAGAAAAAAATGTGAGTTAATTAGAAAAAATAAATTATCGAGCAAATGGATGAGGACCGCGATAATACTATTTTTACCTAAGCCTAAACCGATTCGGTGAGACATATTTTATTTATAAATTTTTTTTATTTTCTCCTTGTTCTCGTCTCGTGTTCGTCCAGTTATTTAGTTGATTTTATTTCGGCGTCTATCGAGTTCTTACTATGACACAATTTGTCCTTCTGGTCGCCCACGAGTCTCAGTTCTCAATGACGACAACTATGACATCGTATTTATCGCGGCACGAGCGCATTTATGTGAAAATATGTGCTTCTATTTATGTACTTTTTTTGATGTATCAATGAAAGACAGCTAGATTTTGTGTGGGTGGTTATCGGAGAGTTATCACTTAACGCGGCGCCGTCATTGTCACTCCGCGGAAATTACTTGCTCGGCTATTTTATTTTCTCAAGTAGATGTAGTAGTGTGTTATGATCATATTTATGTATAAAAAATTTTTTTTACAATAGAAATAATTTTCTATAGGTGAAATTTTAGGTTTAAATTAAGCATTAAATATTAAGTAGGTAATTTTTTAGACTTATTAGGCCAAGTAAAAGCTAGATTATTTGTTCTTCTTATATTTTAATGAGGTAATATTCAGTTTAAGTTATGGTAGTAATTAAAATTTACTCAAAAGATACGTGTTCATATTTTTTTTTATTCATTTTCATTTAAAAGTGGTTAATTTTTTAAAGCTCATTAGTTCAGACTAAAAGCTCTTGGTTTAAATTATATCTATTTAATATTTATTTATCTGCTGTTTACAAAAATTAATCTAAAAATATTAAAGCTTTTATACGTAGAAAATTCTTAGAAAAAACAAAAATAAATAAAACTTACTAAGTGGTCAGTTGTTTAAATTAAAAAATTTCTTTTTAAATAAATTAAAAATTTATTTTGAGACAAAGATGAAGCTTTTATACATAAAAAAATTTTTTTTTAAATAAATAATTAAATTTTATAATCTAAAAAAATTTATTTTCATCCAAGAATTAGCAAAAATTTTTTCCACGGATTATTTATCATGTATTTAATCTTACTTAGGCTTTTGTCTACTACAAATTATCTTTGGACCTAAGTATACATTCTCCAAAACAACAAATCGTAAATCTAAGCTCAAATTTGCAGAATTAAAATTAAAAACCATAAGCTTAGTACAAACATACCATTTACCGTCACAAAATTGTACGTCATAATTTATAATTCATAACAATTGTTTCTTTATTCAAAATAATCAAATTAAAAATTTTTTATTCGATTTATGCATGCATTTTTATTGTTTTTTCATATTTATCTAGTCCAAGGATAATGAAAAAAGCATTTCACAGGTCCAGAGAATTATTCTATTTTTGATTCAATAAAATTTATCTCCAACTTTTGGCAGAAAATACTGAAAAGTGATAAAATATATAAATCGATACTTCAACACATACTGGGCAGTAAATCTTTAGTGCCAGGATTTTTGGGTATTCAGAGCGTAACGCTGATGAAAGAGGGTGACGTAGGCTTACGGTAATCTTTTGGACTTAAATAAATTTATTATTCTACTCGAAATATAAATATAAATATACACAAACAGAATTTATTTATTTTGAGATTAAGAATTCTTTGTTGCCGGAAAATTTTTCAATGAAAATAATTCACAGTGGGTTTTAAAATAATTGATTGACAGTTTACAAAAATGGATAAAATAATAAAGCTACCTATTAAGGTCATGGCACTTGAACGTGCTTGAGTTATTTGGAGAAAGTAACTTACTTGTATGATTTTAAGTAGAAGCATCGGCCAATAAGTACTTTATCAATGCCAATTAAATAGGTCAATATTGTAAAAATTTATTTATTAAAAAAAATGATGACTATAAAGATATTTTGTCCAAAAATATCTCAGTTAAAATTTACATTATTAGAAAAATGTTACCTCTAAACTCTTACCCGTATGCGCGTTTTTAAAAAATAAGGGTATAGTTTAATAAGGGTAGAGAAGGTTCAAATTTTTTTTTGTACCTTTGAGACCCCCAAAGAACAATTTTCAAAAATAATTGGCGGGATCTTTTTAATAGAGTCAAAATTATGAATTAAAAACAATTTCGTTTCACGAACGTCCGGAACTTTAGGTACATAATTATGAGAAGCGGAGAACAAGGCGTTATTGATGTATAAGATATGACTATAAATCATAGAACAAACAGAGTAAAGATAACGAAAGGCGCTAACGAAGGCAGGTGTTGCAAGCAAAGACCGTTGATATTGTGATTTCGTGATTAAGCTTTTATTTTGACGAAATTATAAGCAAAGACCAGAGAGTACAGCAGCCGTTCTGTCAGCATAGGCAGTAAATTTTGCAGAATACTCTTAGCCGACTTATTTCTCCAAGTAGTTATTTATCTTGTGTGAGAGAGAGTGATGCGTTAGTTATATTATGCACCAGTACACCGACTCTTAACTACGTACACTATGACAATAAACTGTTTCATGTCCATGAAGTATTCATTTATCTTTGCCCTCTGACTTTACGTACGTCCTTAATTGCTCGTAAAACTAGATCAAAAATCACTTTCAATCATTTCAACCTATTTTATATTTTTGCAATAAATCTTCAAAATTTTGTTGTTATTATTATAATTATTTTTATTATTATTCAAATTGTTCTACTAATTATTTAATAATAATAAAATTTTCAAAACATTTATTGCAATAATAATGACTTTGAATTTTATTATTATTTTATTAAAAAAAAATTTTTCTTAGTAGAAAATTTAATAGCCTTATTCGTAGAAAAAAATGTATCTTACTTACTTGATAATTAATAGTTTCCCATAATCGGTTACTTGAATGCGCTACTGTCATCTTTAATTCAATAGGCTATTGACTTTAATTACCGACTAAAGGTTTCCATATAAATCGATAAGATTGCATTTTTTTAATTAAAAACATTTCATAACCGATATAATTATATCACATTAATTCCTTATGCAATATTTTATTTTTACAAGCGCAAACATAAATAATGATAAAAATATTTCATCAATATATAATATATATTTTTATTAATAAACTATTTATTACTCTATTGTCATAATAAATTTGATATAAATTTACTTCACCACTAACTCATACATTTAGTAAATAATTAATACAATACATTCTTTATTATTTATCTCTCTTAAAATAAAAATCTTATACATGACTTATGCTTAAGCATTAATTACTAAATAATATAAACTACCTATAGACCACCGGACTAAAAATCTCAAAAATTTAATAACCATTCAATTCAAAAATACATTACTGTATCACAACCATCGAATCCTCGATGAAATTTTAATTATTGTACACAATTGTTCTTGAAATTACAGTATTTCATTTTATTCAATTTACTTTGTTTATTAATAAACAGCCTTTAATCTCGTGGCTTCAATAACATTAATTTATCTCAGTCTCAGTCTCCCTGTCATGTAAAATATTTATTTGTCGTTTTATTTTAAATATAACATTTATTACAATAAAACATTCCATACATTATTTTAACCGCCGGGAATATACAAATAATTGTTGAGCAGTCAGAAGAAATCGATTTCTTCTCAGTAAAAATTCTTTTCGATTAATTTATTTAAAAAACATCCGATACATGACATGATTCTGAGCGTATAAAATTTTATCAAAAAAATATATATAAAATAGATGAATTGTAAAAATCCAAGTCTTGTAAAATTTGAAAAAAATTTTTTTTTTAGTCATAATAATTGTTTTTTTTTTTTTAATTAAATATATATGTGACCATATTACAAAATGCAGTATATGACCATATGATTATGTCGTATACATTTATTTAATTAATCTTTAAAATAATTGGTCATTGTTAATATCAGTGTTAGATTAATATAATATAAATCACATATTAATTGTCTTTTTATAATTGTAAAGATAAAAAAAATTTCTTCGGTTATCACTAGAGATTGAAATTCAATTTAAATATTACGTCTATTGTTAAAAATTTTATGAAATTTTTGGTCAAAAAATTTCTTCAAAAATTGAAACTAAATATTTAAAATTATTATTTTTCAAATTAGAATTTTTTATATTAGCAGAGTACCATCATAAAAAATTCAAAATTTTCAAATAATTATTGAAATATTTAAATAAAATTTTTAATTACAAGAGACGCAATATTAAAATAAAAATTTTCAAAATAAAATTTTAAATAATTATAATGATAATGACATTTAAATAAAAACTAAACTATTGATTAACTGGCTGCGATATATGGCTGCCGACTTTCTTAGTGAGCTCTTCGAGCAACTCGCGATAAACAAGCGAGTCCATGTTTGATTGCAAAATGTAGAGCAGCCACCAGTCCCCGAGGTCCAATTTTTTGCTGATGTTCGAGCAGGTCTCGATCGACAGCAATCTTCCGGAGTACTTGAGTACGTAGGGGCGAACTGAGGGCATGAAAATGAGCCCGGCGCGGTAAATCATCAGCCCGACCAAGAAGATCGAGAGGATTATGTACCAGAACCAGATGAAGATGTAAGTTTTCTCGTTGACGATATTCAACGGCAGGATGCAGAGCGAATCGTGGGTCTGGATCGTTCCAGAGGCTCCGTACTTGTGGAAAATGCACTTGGTTACTCGCGGGAATACGTAGACCATCGGGTCAACTCGTTCTTCTTGCGGTGTGTCCGAGAATTGCAGCACTCGCAGACCATAGCTCATAAATTCTCCGTCAAAGAAACGATTCATTAGATATAATTGGACAAAGATGTTTATTACACACAATACTTCGCAGATGAAGTAACGGTACACGTACATGTTGTGGCTCTGTAAATAAATAAATTTTTTTAATTAATAATGATAAAAAAAAAGTAATAATAACTTTAGCAATCTGAAGTTACTATAACCGACGATAATTATGAATTATGAACAATAAATTTTAGCTGAATGATTTTTCGATATTTTTAATTACAATATCCATAATTTGGGTACTTTTGAAATAAATTTAAACAATAATATTGCTATGTCAGGATCAATTATCAATTATTTGACGAAAAATGTGACGGACTAAATTTATAGAGCTAGTAAACTATTTTAATCTTCGCCAAAAACTTGACATAAAAAATTGACCATCAAAAAATAAATGATTATAAAAATTTCTTTTGAAATATAATTATATCTATGATAAAAATTAGAAAAAAAAAAAAATTGAAGAATATTGGAATAAAATTGAGGTCAATTGGATAAAGTGTTAAGAGTTTCAAGTTAAAAATTTTCAAAAAAATATTATTAAATAACACTGATTGTATATTTGACTATAGTAATAATAATAACAGTAAAGACGGGAAGCAAATTAGCGTGAATTAGATTCAATGAGAGTAAATTGAGTACGAGTCAAATATGTTCTTGTTAATATTCTCTTTTCTTGTCTTCTTTACTTTTAAATATGTCATTTCTTTTTCCTTCTTCCTTTCTTTTATATTTTTAACTTTTTAGCGGCGTTGTTTAGTTAGATTATTATTAATAATAGCCATTTATATTATTTACTAGCTTTAAAGTCAAGTATTTCTTATAATATCCTTAGCAATATATTTAAAATAAAATTTCTGAATTTTTAATTTATTTTACCAGAATTTTGATATTTATTTTCAAGGATTTTTTATTAAATTTTCAATCTAACATTTTTTAGATATAAATAAAATCAATGCATAAAATTGAAAAAAAAATCCTACCATTTCTTGAAAAATTGAATGAATTAAATTTTTCTCATTTAAGTTATATAAAAAAACAAATTTGAGCTCAAAAATACAACTTGTACAAATCCAGACAAATTTACTTCTTACAAAATAATTCCTCCAAAAGTATAAAAATAAATAAATCCATAACAGTAAAAGAATGCTGATTGAATCATGGTGAGTAACATAAAATAAATAAATAATAAGAAAAATTTGATTCAGCACATTACATCAAGGTTATTCAGATTGATCATATATGATATAGCACATAACATAAAGCATAATTGAAAAATTGATCTCCCACAATACCTTGATGTGAGTCACCAAATAGTCCATCAACGTGTTTTTCTTTTTGCATATCGTTTCCTTAGTATCTAGTCCATGATTGAGACCCATAACTAGATTGCTCGCGAGTCCACCTTCCCAAAGACCCCACAGCCAGTGCGGAAGGTAACAAAACATCGCCTGAAAATAAATCTCATTACTATTTTATTTATAATACATATTATTGTCGAGTATAGAGTATAGAAAGTCTCGTCTCGTATTAGCTGGTAATTGATATCAGCGATTTGAAACACAAGTCCTTCAGCATACCATTCAATTATTTATTTATATCTTTCTATACATAATATATAAATACAGCTGCTTTTAAATATCATTGAATGTCAATCAAGTATTATGTTTTTATAATGATAAATATATTTATTTTAGTGTAGTATAGATAGACTTTACCTGGAAGAACAAAACGAAGCAGACCCATTGATAATAAGTATAGTATTTCCTTGCTCCGGCATCGCCAAAGTCATTTGATACTCCAGGATGTGCTACTTCTACGCCAACCTGAAAAATTTCATTTATTTTACTATTTTGTTTCTTTATTTTATTAATTTTTATTTCTTTTTTGCTATATAAAAATATTTTATAAAAAAAATAATCTTTTCTTTTTCAGTATACTCATTCATTTTTAAATAACAAAAAAATTAAAATTATATTAATAATTAATAGAATAAAGTGGGAAAAAAAATTTATTAAAGTAATTTAAATATTTCGCGGTATTTTTTTCTCTAACCAAACTTAGCTCCAGCTATGATTATAACACGCATGCCCAAAAATTTGGAAATTATTACTATACATATTTTGTCTGAAGTAACAGAGAACATACAACTTTAATTTTTTATTAATTATTATTAAACGACACCGAGTTAAATAGTAATTTGAAATAACTGATTTTTCGGGGCAGAAAAAGTCTATTAAAAAAAAAAATAAAATACAACAAATGATAATAAATTTATTCGTTTATTTTTTTGGCGGGGAGAAACTTTTAATTTATTTCAATGATTTTTTGGATTATGTATAACTAAATAAATTTTTAAAAGTTATAGAATGCTTTTTAGTAAAATTTCTTCTTGCTGAAAAACAACTAAAGTTTCTCTGAGAATTTTTTAAGTTGTAAAACCTTTTTGTGCGTATTAAGTAAAACCTTTTTAGCCGTAATCCTGAAAAATTTGACCCTAATTTACCGTAATTAGGATCCGTGAGCAATAAAATTATACTTTTTATGGAACTTTTCGGAGAAAAGGTCTGCCGGTTCTCAAACAAGGTCTAAAACAAAATTAATTATACGCATATAGTATGTGTTAGTATAATAGGTAACTAAAAGCGAGTGTAGCGAGATAAGAGGTTTAATTTGCTTGAATATCTGCCGTAGCAGCTATAACGCGAACGCGACTAAAACGCAAACTGGATTCTCCAGTGTGATAAGACTCAGCAAGTAGGAGACAAGATCCTACGGGTAATTTGAATCCCTCGAGGACTCTCTATCTGAACACGCGTCGATTTTACGTCAACCTTCGTCACGTGGATTTATATATTTATATATTTATATGTTTATATATGAGAATGTATATCAATGTAGGTGATATATAATACTGGTGTTATTGAAACATGCTGTAAATAATTCCATGGGTTATACAATTCAGTCTGTTAAATACTCTCAACTCTTTCTGCCGCAAGTTATATTATTATTATATATCAAGATACATGTACGTGAATACTGTGAGATTCAGCTGGATAAGCACTTAATTGCCTCCCAGAACTGCCTTGATACTTGATTATGATTATATTCGTCTTACATCTATCATGTAAGCAGTAATTATTTTTTTTTCTCTTTCTTTTTCTTTAATTTATGTTTTTAAACTAAATAAAACTAAGTTGTACTGGGATAAATATTTTTTATTTATTTCAAGTGTTTGCGATCCTTTATTTATTGTTATGATTTTGTAAATATATAAGTTATCTTGGATTTAAATTGGAGAAAATAATTCTAAAGATTTGCTACGGTATAATTTATTTAGAAAAAAAATTTATTTTAGCCTCTTATTAATTTATTTAATTATCAAAAAAATTTTTTTAATCAACAGTAATATTTATTTCAAATCAATTATTAATTTCATCAGCAAAATTCCTTTTAAAAAAATTAATTTTAGTCCTAAATTAATTTTTTGGATCCCAAATCTAGAAATAAAATTTATTCACAAAGAATTTTAATTTTTTATCAATATTAAATTTGATAAAAAAATTAAATTAGATAAAAAATTGATGTAGGAAAATTCAAATAAAATTTCCAAGTCTAAAAATAATTAACAGCCCCAAAATAAAAAAATGAAAAATTCATGAATTATTAAAAAATGATTCACAAAATTCTTAAAATCTTTTGAAACCTTTCAAACATGGAAAATACAGATAACCCCCTCCCCTCCATTCTTTACATAACTTCGAGCTCTGTAAGCCTGGAATATCAAGAAGCGATACGGTAATGAGTAACAAAAATTCCTGTCATTAATCACCAAAATAAAATTAGGAATTTCAAAAGATAATCCTTTATTCTTCAATAAAAACATTAAAAAAACATTAATCAATGTTCCTTACTAAAAAAAAATAATCAATTAACTGCCTTATAATTTAATATAAAGGCTAAAAATTATAAATTATTGATATTAATTAATAAAATAAATATTTACCTGACGATTAAACGCATCAGGCATGGTAAACGTAGAAGTAATCCAGCAGAAAGTATTAACAACATTGTTCGGCAGATCCTTACCGACAATACAGGATATCGGATTACCGACGTACTGGGTTGCGGTTATAATCATCGAGCACATGAGGAGCAACACCGTGGTGAAGATGTTGTGCATCCGAAACACCATTGAGTCGGTCTTTATGTCCTGCCATTTTAGATATGTGCTCAACCCCCGAAGCAAATTATACATCTTTAATCCTCAATCACAATAATCGATAATAGACTCAAAATAATATTTAAAAAAAAAAAATAATTTAATATAAAAAAAAACTAGTGTTGAAAACGCATCCCGTATCTTGGCTTGTTTTTCAAAGACCGGATGACCGACCGGTACCAGCACAGCTGTCCACTGAATTTACTTCTCCCACTTAATAAAATATAATGTCTTGTTATTATTATCACTGGTTTCCCCTCGATCTCCAGCAGCAATAATCTCCTCGATCGATACAATAAATTCTGCAGCTCACGATTTATTATTTTATTTTTTATTAATAAAATCAACCACAGAGATGCTTGTAAGCTTATAAAAACTCTTCAAATAATTTTGTAAAATAATATCAACAGATCCTCCAATCGATCTCACTGCTTCAAAGTCAAGGACACGTGTTGGATGTAAACAAATTTACGCGCAATAATTTTGAGACACTTTTTCGTGTAAAAGTAATGAAAAATCGGTTTAAAATTATATTTTTAATTTAAAATATTAAACGATTGGTCACTTTTGTCTGGCGATTGTCGATGGTACTCTCTTACTCGAAAAGATTTTCGGAGCTTTTAAGGATAAATTTACCGATCACTCCTGAGGATTTATGACAAATAAAAAAAACTAAAAAATCGGCGGTCCCAGCGTATCGTTTTGCACGTGTTCACATGTATCGCATTGGTGCACATGTGTGAGTGTGTGTATATATATGTATATATATTACATATATGTGTGTGTGTGTGTGTGTGTATGTATATATAACACAGAAAAAGGATAAATATTAAAGTATCAGTGGCTCGGGCTAGCGATTGTCGTCGAACGTCAGCATAAGCAGCACGTACGTACGAGTCTCTTGGTCGTCGACTGACGAGAAGTGCCAGTGGATTTGTTGGGCCGGGGGGAAAAACGTGCCGAGGGGAAGGGGTCCTTTGGGGCCGCGAGGGGGATCGCGGGTTGCAGGATGGGGGACACAGTTTTTTTACTCCGGTCTTTGTCTTTTTTTAGTCCCGTCTCTGTCGAGGTTCTTTGAAAGGGGAACCGTGGTAATGGTAACCCCTGAGGACTGGGTAGGGGATACGCTTCTTTCTCTTTCTGAGCACGCCGTCAGAACAGAGGTACTATACCCAGTACAGTACATTTTATATACGAAACTCTACAGTTGCTGTATATGCTCGTTGTTCTACGTGCTACAATAAGTTGTAGTTGCGTTTCGTTGGGAATTTACAATGAGAATAAACTCTGCTCTGCTCCAAGTATTGTATACTGTATATTGTATAATATGAACAGAGCTCACAACACTGACTGCGCGAGTCGAGCTTTGTACGACCGTTAACTTTGGGCCCCATCTGGATCATCTCGATGGTGGACTTACAAGGAAAGGAAAATCGTTGGGTTACTTCAGTAGATAAATACGGAGCTCTGAATTAAGATCTTTAGATTTTAATTTCTGGAGAAAAATTTGCTTTGAAGCAAAATTTGGGATTTTTTAATTGATAAAAAATTGAGAAATTTTTTTTGGAATTATTTATTTTATAAAATAATGGGATTTAATTTTTTTTTTGTAATTGCAATATCAGAAAAATTTATTTATAATTAAAGAAAAAAATTATTTTTAAATTTCAGTATTTTTATTAAACATTAAATCCAATTTTTCAATAAAAAATTAACAGGTTAAATTTAATTTTTCAACGAATAATATTTTTGTTAAAAAATTAAATTTAATGTGTTGTATTCTTTCATTTGAAAAAATTCTTTTGTTACTCTCAAAATTTTTCCCATTGTCCCCAAATAACTGAAATTTCCATGACTTTCACGGTCGAAAACTCCAAAATAAAACTTCATTTCACGGACCGCCGTGCAATTACACTGAAAAAAAAAGTTCACATCTACTTATACAAAATTTTTCCATCATTACATCATTCACACCGCTCACAAATTCAAAACTACTAAATATAATAGAAAAGAATAGTACAAGTATAATAACAATACTGACTACTCACTACTCAGTTGAGTCGTGACTCTAAAAAAATTATTTACGGTCAATTACAACAGTGAGTGGTCTGAGTTACTGCTAAACTTTCTCATGTTATACATACATATTTATTTCTCTTAACTTTTAGAATATTATTACAATATTTAATTAGGTTTTTTATAAACATTTTTTACTTAAATTTGTTCTACAAAATCAAAACATAAATATTAAAATATATAAACAAAAAAAAGTCTTAATTTTAATTAAATTTCTTGTATAATTTATAAAAAATTATGAATCAAGAGATTTAAAAACTTAAATAAAAGTTTAAGAATAAAGACAGTTTATGTAATGCCCTCTATGTCTACCATATACACTACTGTACACTCTGTACATTATAATCATTTAAATGTACAACTGCAAGGAGCTTTTAATTACGAGATAAAATCACCAGACGCAAGAGCGAATTTAAACCCAAGGTTAAAAAAAAAAATATATAAAACAATAAAAATTACGCCTAATGTTTCGGTGGGATTTCTTCTATTGTATAATATTGCATTATACTCTCATATTTTGCTGAAATTAATTTTGTCTGGTCCTTTATGTTCATGTTCATGCTCAGTTCCACTTGTTCCTTGCTTTACTTGCTTACTACCTGAAAATAAATATGATGTAAGGAAAGAAGCGAGTGAACTGAGCCTCAAATAAATTTTTTGTCTTGACAAACACAGCAAAGACAGCCAGGACAAGAACACGAATAGGAACGGCGACCAATCGACTGACCGATCTCACAGTAGTACTTACTGTTCCAGTTTTTATCACCTCGGGGTTTCGGTTCGTAAATAAATATAGAAAATAAAGTGAGGCCGTAAGATCTCTCCAGACTTACAAGTTTCTCTTTAGTTTGGAACCTTCAAGGCTCACTGGACGAGTGAAATCAAAAATACATTTCTTACAATACCGGTGTATATTTGTCCATTGTAATATCGAGATTACACTCTATACTTTCGGTATATATTCATGTATACTTTCAGAGGCTTTGTACGGTGATAAATGGTCCGCTGTGAATGTAAGTAATGTAATGAGTCGAGCTTGGGTAGAAAATAATCAAATGCTTCAAGTGCCGAGTCAAGAGAATGTTTAAATGGACAATATTTTAAATGACCATGAGTTTTGATGTTTTATTAAATTTTAATGCTAATATCCTTCATTTTTTTTCATGTACATTATTTCTATTGTTCTTTGGTAAACAAAAAAAAATTAATTTTGTTTTTTTGATCCAAAACGAATACTTCGAAAGTATTTTTTGATAATTTTATAAATAAAATTGGATCACAATACTCAATTTTATTTAATTGTTGTTTTTTCTTTTATATTTTTAAATCTCGAATAATTTTTTATTATAAAAGTTCAGTCATAATAAAATGTTCGTTTTCATTGATTATTATTATTATTTTTTTATCGTAAAAAAGTTACAAAATAATTTGGTAAGATAAAAGAAAGAAACAAAGAAGTCATTCAAAGACTAAAAGATAACTGTAATCAAATTTAAATTTATTTAAACAATTACTATCCCAATGAGAATGAGAATAAATATATTCCATGCATCCCATCACCTGGACAAACTTCCGGATTGTGTATTCTACTACCGTTGAATAAACTGATGCAATATTCACGCATGGTAATGCGTTATGCGAGCTCCAATGAGAACTTACAATGCGGTTAGCAACTTTACCAAAATTATCATTACATGAACCTGCATTTATTCAGACGGCATATGGCTCCGTCTACTGAGTGAGCACTGATGCAACGTGACCGATAAATTTTTGCCGAACAAATATTAAACATAAATAAATATATACATATATTTATATGAAGATGTGTTAATTTCGTTGTTTAATACTTTCATCACGTCCCGAATATTCCGCTTTTATCTTTATCTCCTCTCTTTGTCTTTACTAATTCTAAAACTCAAGAGTGCCCCAATTCTTAATTTCCCACGCAATTAAATCTAATTGCATTGACGTCAATCCACTCGAGTTTTTACGACGAGAATTTTGTTATCGTCTTGCAGAGTTATCGCATTATATAGAGTCATTATCAATGTATGGAGACATTATGATCCACTATCGATAAAATCCAATTTATTATTGATAATAACTTTTGTAATTACTCATTATATGCCCCACGTTAATTAACTCCTTAGAATAGTAATTTAATATAATATACTATTTTATAATATACAAGAGTGTTGATATTTTTCGATTTATTTTTATCACCTTGATCTTTTTCGGAGAAATTTATTTTCTAAATTCTTCTGATAAGTAATCAATTTTCGGTAGTCATTAGTTAGGTATAAATATAATTATTTATTATCAAAATTTCATAATAATACTGACCTTGAAAAGTCAATTTTATTTTTAAATCAAAATTCGGTGATATGATTTTGAAAAATATTTCCAAAAATATGAAATTAAAAAGTTATTAATAAATTTAATTCTAATAATTAATTTAATTTGAAAAAAATAATTTTTTTAAGTCAAATTTTGAACTTGAAAAAAAATTTTTTTACCTTCTAAAAAAATGTTGACATCTTTTTATTTATTCATATTTTCCTTTAAAAAAAAAAATTCCGTCGACGCCAATGGATTCAGAGTGAGTTTAAAAAGAATTGGGGGTATAGACAGAAAAAAATAATAGAGCATGTGTTCGATGCAGAACACACGACCGGAAGGGGTGAATAAGACAAGAATGGACCCCATTCAAAAGTATTTTGGTGGTTGTATGTAATTCATATAATATACCCGTTATCCAGATGTTTATTCAAATTATTCTTCATTTTTTCTCCAATATAAAAAAATAATTCCTTGCCTTTGTCTTTGAATAAAAATAATTGTTTTCTAATCTAAAAAAAAAATCATCAGCATAATTGAGGATAATTATAGGCAAAAAAAAAAATAATTATTCAAACACGTGTTTTTTTTGTCGCATTAAAATTTTTTCAAGCTTGAACTTCGGATCT